TACTTCGCCGCGTAAACGTTCAAATGGATGCTAAATTCGAAATCAGCCCTATAAACTACCCTAGAAACATGTAAAACTCGAAAAAGTGAACCGAGGTCATCAAAGGTCGATGACCTGACCTGACCTTCAGGTTACCTTCACACCCACCGTGATGCATGGGAAGAACATCATTTCACATGTTTGGACGTCTACAATCACAAAAAGACTGGAAACGCGCGGATAATGTGAGCTGACATACGCCAAATCGCGATCCCGTCTGAACATGGTCTCGAGAATCAGGTCACAGGTCTGAAGGTTTTGTGGATCAGGGTCATGAAATTTTCAGAGTAGGTGTAAAACTGATCAACTCGAGGGTACTAAAAGTTTCGTCGCGATCGGCCGCTTTTTGCGCGAGTTATTTGCGAACAACCATGGGGGGGGGGGTTCATCCGACCCCCCTACACATGCCAGGGTCAATGCTTCCAAATGCACTTATCGGTCGGTACCTTTTTCGACATGGTACACCCTCAAAGCTCGTAACGAGCCTTCGCTCGGGTGTCGCTCCCTACCCCTCCCCCCTCCCCGCTTCACCGGCCATGGCTGGATTTCGGCACCCATGCACCCACAATGTTCCAGCCGTTCCTACGCCCATGTATGCTACTGAAGCGCATGTTAATGACATCGGAGCCCGAGTCGATCGCCAGCGACCTAGTCACTCGTGGTGATGTTCACCATCGTACCACACGGAACGCCGACCATTTAATCATGGCGCCGAGTCGATCGGAGTCAGGCAGGCGTCGTTTTAAGCACTCGATCGTTACCGCCTATAATGCTTTGCCACGTGAGTTGCGAAACTTTACTGGAGGCTTCAACCCTCGCACGACCAGGCCATTTCTCATATCACGAACGACCAGGGGGGGGGGTTGTTACGACCCCCCCTGGCGTTTCGAAACGGAAGGTCGTAGAGCTTAGCTGAAAAAACCAACGGATTGCTCTCAACGAGATCTCGCGATTGGTGGTATATTTTTTGGTCCTAGGTCAACATTTGACCTACTTTTGACCGGTCAAAGGTAAAGTTTTCGGAAAAATAGACTTTTTTCAACTTTCGGCGGCGATTGCGGCAAAACGGTGGGAGATATCGACTTGAAACCTTCACTATCGTGTTCCTTGATCAATTCTCTATCGTTTGGTATGTATTTCGTTTCCCTAGCTCTAAAAATGGCGCGTTGGGAGCGCCGGAAGTCGGCAAGGTCACAGTCGGCGGCAGAAATTCGAAAAACCAAAATTTAAATTTTTGAAATCTGATTGTATTTTTGGATTTGGGAGGTCCATTTGCTCCCTATAGAAGCTAATATTGCTGCATATTCCCATTGAGGTGACAAGAATTAGCAAAATAGTGGTTCGGGCGCTTTTCAAAAATAATACCGGACGCTGTTCCTCTTGTGACGTCATAGCTCCGTGACCTGACCTGACCCGGTCAAATTTCTTATACCATATGATAGCCAATACTTGCCGCAACATGCATGGGAAGTTTTATCACGATCCATCAACCGATGTCCGTACCACCGGCAGGAAACCTCGGGCGTTGGCACTCAGTTTGTGAAAATCCGGCCGGAGGCTGTACCTCTTATGACGTCATAACTCCGTGACCTGACATGACTCGATCAATTTTTTTTCGGCAAAAGATGTGCAAAAGTTGCCCCAGAGGGTATTGAAAATTTCAGCCCGCTACGACAAGCCGTTTAGCGTGCACTTCGAAAAAACCTCAGGGGGGGGGGGTTGATACAACCCCCCCCAGGCGTTCTAGGGTTAAGAAAGAACTCAGGCAACACCTGCTTATGAAGCAGCGGGGCGGCGTCGGCTAGGTGTACTTTAACACGCGCAGTGGAAGGGTTGCGAGTACTACGCCCAGTGGAAGGGGGGGGGCGGATGTCGCCCCCCCCCCTAAGATCTCAGCTCCCACTGGAGCTAGAAAAACGAAATTTGGAGGGTAGGTGGAGGCCATGGGGAACTCTGTTGTGTGTGAATTTCATGACCCTAGGTCAATATCTTCAAGGTCAAATGAGGTCAAATGTGGTCAAATCTCCATATTTGCGACTTTTTTTGCATTTACACGCCGATAACTCGAAAAGTTACCGGCCGATTCTCCTTTTTTTTTCACTATACGAAAGACCAAACATTTGTGAGTATGTATGGTGAATTTCAAGTTAATCCAACAATGAATATGGCAGTTAGAAGCCTGCTAAGGGTAAGATGTCGCCGGCTGAAGCGGGAGCGGCCGACGCGGGAAACGCGGCAATCACAATTTTGTGTTTACACACTCATAACTCAAGTTGTTACCGGCCGATTTCCAAAATTCTTTGACCATATGATTGCCTGTACATTTCTCAGTCTTCTCACCAAATTTGACGCGAATCTAATGTAATCAGCGGTAAGGAGCGGCAGCGCGATGTAAAGACGGAACCGTCCCGCCCCGGCACAGTCTACAATTCAGGCGGCGCGTAACGGCTAGCGCCGGCCGCCGCGCCGCCGCGCCGCCGCCGCGACAGGATGTTTGACTTTACACCACTATTACTAGACAAGTTGTGAACCGATTTTCTTATTTCTTGCACGGGAAGATCCGCAATTCAATTCTGGACAGGTAGCCAAAATTTCACATTGATATTATGTTTGCGGCGCGAGTTATTGGCGAAAAACAGGAGGGGTGGGCGAAATCCGCCCCCCCCCTTCCACTGCGCGTGTTAAAGAGCAGACGTGTGTGGGTTAGTGCGTGTGCATGTGTGCATGTTGACCTAAATGACCGTTTTTATCTTTGCGACTGCAGGGTGCGGAATAGCCACTGAACTATGTGGATGTGCCCCATGACGTAAATACATACATACATACATACATACCCCCCCCCCTCTTGTGCCGTCGAAGGACGCAAAATGGCCTGTGCCGGCGAGGGTCAAGTTGTGTAAAGCGGATAAGATAGGGGAGAGTGGGGTAAGATGCCCAGGGTGGGAAAGAAGCCCCACCCCCTCTAGCGGCAAAACAAAGAATCGAACCTGGAAATTAATGTTCTTAGCGTGAAGTGGAAGACTGCCTTGGTAACTGCACAAAAATTTGCGAAGCTCAGTTGGGCAACGGCTGACTGGTGATTGCATGTTTTTTATATGCTTCTTTCGAAAAATATTTTGATGTCAAAAAATTGTAAATATCAAAGAAGCTAAATAATTTTTATGTCTCTTGCTATAGTCGTGATACATAAACATGCGTGTACTGTGTACCAAACAGTTTATTTCAGGGTATAGTTTTATGGCTAACAAATTGTACTGATTTAATGTTAATTCGGTACCTTGGGGTAAGATGCCCCCTGCCCTGATGGGGAAAGACGCCCCCTAAATCCGTAGGCTGGCCTTCAAGGAACCCGTCAAATCATTTATTACATACTTGTGATGAGAGACAAAAGCCGATCTGGGACAATTGAGAGCCCAGTACGGTCGGGTGCTCCCCATGCCGGTCTCTCGGCACACACAGCGACTTTTTGGGCGGCATCTGACTCTGAGAGCCCTCACGACGGCCTCTGTGGGCCCCATTATTGGCTCGCTCCAAGGCCTCTCACGACATCCTTTGAGGGCTCCCATGTTGGCTCCACGGGTCGCGCTGGCATCTGAGGTCACCACGATGGGCTCGAGGGCCCTCAAGCATCATGGAGACCTGTAAGAGCCCCACAGCGGTCTCCGAACGCCACCACGGAGGCTTGTTTGGCTGCGCTGAACTATGATGGCCCTGACGATGACCTCTGAAGCCCCTTACGACTACTTTTGAGGGCCCTTACGATGACGTTTAGTGTCTATTGCAGGCTCGAAGGGACTACTGATTCGTTCAGGCGATTCACGTGCCCATTTATGTCACTTATAGTGCAGGGGGGCATCTTCCCCAACGCCAGGGGGCGTCTTTCCCACCCTGTGGGGTAAGATGCCCTCTTTCACTTCTTCAGGAAAATGCTTAATAGCATAAAAGCTATCATATTTCAGGCACGAAAGTGTGTTATTTTTTGGAGGAAAATGATGTCGCCTTCCGTTGAAACTCCAAGTTTTTGCTTTCCGATCGTCATTTTCGAATAATATATGAGATTGTAAAACCCTGGGCATCTTACCCCACTCTCCACTACCCACAGTGTGTTTAAATTGTAATTTACGTTTACGTATTTGCGACCCTTCTGGGCGCAACTAGGGGTTTGAGGTTGCGACAGAGGCACGACATTGAGCTGACAAACTCCATGAGCCAGTACAATGGATGCCTTTTCACAACCACATAGGTACCTAACCTACAAATACAACAAACAACCATGTCGAGTGCCGGTAAGTATCTAGCCACACTTGTTAACTGCATGGTCTAGGTACCTACTTGTGCAAGAAAATCACTATTTTTCATTCTGGACTCATGCAAAATTACCTCCGGGCAATGGCATGGAAGAAACCGCCTAATTTTATTTAAATGCAGACAATGAATTCATTGATGATCGTTTTGAACTTCCCGTTCCATTCATATTCGCTCAAGAGAAGAGTGTGGGGTCGCAGATCGGGAAGGGTCACTAATAGCCGTTTTCACGACGGGCTATCTGTCGAGTGCACCTAATTTGACCAAATCTGCACCTTATCTCTTTTACAGCAAATATCTTTATTTCATGAATTTATTTCAGTGTTTTAATCGATGATGCTCTCTGATAATATGACAAAGCAGGCATATAAGCAATTAGTGCAACCCTAGCTGATAGCTACAAGAGACACACTGAACCTAATTTGACCAAATCTGCACCTAATCTGCACCAGATGTGCACCAAATGTGTACCAGATGGCCGTCGTGAAAACGGCTAACAGGAACATTTACGCTACTGTAGTAGGTATAGGTACACACAGTATTCACCATACCCGGGGGCGGTGGGACTGAGAGATCATCAACATCTCGTTGAGTTTGATTCAACCAGTAATAATTCACACAGTCGTTATTCAGTCGATGCTGTACAAATGCTGCAAGACAAGCACGCCCTTTATTCACAGCGCTATTTGATCCAGACAGTGTTGGAGAGGATGGGCAGGCAGATGTCGAGCTCCCGGCGCACCGACTCCACACACGAGGGGTGCGGCTTGAAGGAGAGCAGGCGATAGCCGAGCGCCTCCAGGCGCGTCAGCATCTTCAGGTAGCCCCTGGCCACGGCCGGGCTGAATGACGAGCGCGCCGCCTCCTCGCCGAGGACGGCGTTCTCGTCGAGCACGACGGTGAGCGCCACCTGGTCGGCGGAGACCTTGGCGCCGGGCCGCAGCAGGTCCCAGAGCACGTCGGCGTCTCTGCCGGGCACCGAGACGTCCAGCAGGTCCAGCCGGGAGCCGCCCAGCTGCTGCAGCTGGCGGCGCAGCGAGAAGCGCCGCGCCGCCGCCGCGCTCTCCGTGTACAGCGTGCGGTGGCCGCCGGCGGCGCAGCCGAACTCGGCCAGCTGCCGGGCCAGCGCCCCCGGGTCGCCGTTGAAGCGGCCGCGCTGCACGGAGAGCACGCGGCACGGCCGGCCGGGAGCGCCCAGGTAGCCGGCGCCGATACAGACGCGCCGCTGGCCGTACAGGTGCATGTCGAACCGGATGTCGGCGTCTCGGCCGCTGGCCGGCTCGCGGTAGTTGCACTCGCAGTTGCCGCCGAAGGTGAGGATGCGGGGGCAGGAGGCGGAGACGTGCGCGGGACTGAGCAGGGCGGCCAGCTGGTGCAGCGCCGCCGCGTCGGCCGCCGGGGACCGGTCACTGGCCGCCGGGGACCGGTCACTGCCCGCCGGGGACCGGCCACTGGCCGCCGGGGACCGGTCACTGGCCACAGTCGCTGTCACCCTGCCGGCAGTCAGGCAGTGAGCTGCGTGAGACAGATCCCATAGCATCTGAGGGTGAGATGAACATTACGAGTGACGTGTGAGATAGCTCGTTCCTACGAAAGTTGCTTGCATCTGACTTAGCTGCTGTCTCCTAGTCCCCGACAATAAATAGTTACGTTCCCTGGCACCCCTCCTACCCCCCCCCCCCCCACGAGCCTCTCGCGGACACAGCTAATGCTTATTTACAGCCTGCAAGGCAATGGTGGATGAAGTAAGAGGACAGCCATGTTAATGGCAATGAAATGATAAGGTGTGTAGGTAGGTAGGTAGGAATAGGTACTTAACTTTTACCGTACACTGTACAGTACAAATAAGAACACATAATATCCATTAGCAAAAAAACTCATCGGCACACATGAAACCAAATATCATGACGGATTATACAATTTTTTTGGACTTTCAGTTAGGGCATTTATCCCAAGCTGATCGGTCAAAGATCACTCACCGATATCCGGCCACCAGCAGAGAGAGGAGGACCACGGGGATCAGCGGTGTCCTCATTGTGGGTTCAGCTCAGCACACCGGCCGACTGTGACTGCTGCTGCTGGCCGGCTGCCACACCGACCATTCACTGCACTGCACTGCACTGCTGGCTGTCACACCGACCGGTCACTGCACTGCACTGCACTGCACTGCCGGCTGCCACACCGACCGGTCACTGCTGCTCTACAGACTGTCTTGCCCGTTCACTGCACTGCACTACAGACTGTCCTGGCCGGTCACTGCACTGCACTACAGACTGTCCTGGCCGGTCACTGCACTGCTCCTGTCCTGACTGTCCTGGCCGGTCGCCGCAGACCACAAATGCGGCGTTCTGTAGTCAGGCTCGGGCACTGGGTGGCCGCGGACCGCGGACTGGTGATCGGACTGCGTGACCGCTGCATCTGAGCACTGCCGAACGGAGCGGGAGGCGGCGAGGGGCTAACGGCAAAACGGCCCTCCGCGCCAGTCACTGCACTGCGGCCCGCGGCGGCACGAGAGATGAGCCCGGTCAGCAGTCCGCTCAGTCCACAGAGACGCTGGTCTGACTGGTGGTGCGCCGACCCCGTCCATGGCTGTGCCGTCCCTACCTCCTCTCACGTCCATCCTGTCAGCCGCCGCCCGTGCCGGGGAGCCGTGCTGCATGCTGTGCCGGTGTGCCGGCCGGCCGCCCGGGCCGGTGCGGGGTTACCCCGTTTTAGTGTCGGACGCTCCGCGCCCCGGGGCAGAAGCGCGGAGGTAGCCGGCGAGAGACGCTGAGCCAGGCTGCAGCTCGGTCATTGCACCCCGCTCCTGGTGTTAGATGCTCCGGCGCGGCTGATGAACAAGGTGACAAGGTCATGTTCATTGCTCGATCTCTTTAGCAGGTCGTCAGTTGACGGGACTGATAGGTTGTCCCACTATCAAACAGGTTTAGTGGTATATAGGGCCTTGGGTTAGGTGACACACCCTATCCCTGTGCTCCATATTCGGCATACACAAAACTCCAGTACATGATAAGTGACAAGCTGCAAGCGAGACCTTAAAAGTCTTTGGAAATCACTAGGAAAGTGGTGCGAGCATTTTGAGGTCAGACCAAGAGGTCAAATCGACAGAGGTCGAATTTTCGGGCAGGGTCGCGTCAGGCGGGTTGTGCAAGAAGAAAGAGCTTTACTTCCTTTTTTATATTTCATTGTGTATGCTTCAGATGTTTTTTTAGGTGAATGTCTTAAGCATTAAAATTTAAGACATAGTTCCACGACAAATCGACAAGTGCCCTGCACCCTCATATTTTATTTTTTGCTTAAAATTGGTCTAATGGGTTGTGATGGGCGGGGAAGCCAGCTGTGGCAAGGATTTTTTTCTTCGAACAACGGTTTCCGAGATATAGCCTCGGGCAATTCCTGAAGGTCGCGCTGCAGCCCTATGTTTGGCGGCCTACAACTCAGAAACCGTTGGTTTTCTACGATAAAAACTTTATATGATTCAACTCACAATCAACCAACAAACATTTTGGCTATCTCGGATTTTCAATTTTTGAAAATTTTGATCACGTGACCTTTTGACCTATTTTTCGAAGAGTGACCTTGATATTTTCCCCACTGAAAGTTGCAATTTTGTCTGATGACGATTAAAGCCTTATCAATTGTCATCATATGCGATAATTAAAAGTGGTTATCGCCCTGCGTTGACCTCAGGTCAGGTCATTTTTATGATCTGTCCATTATTACGAGCGGGAGCGACAGCGAGATCTCGAGAATAAAGCAAGATAGCGACAAGCGGTAAACGGTACAGGGTACACATGGACATGGTCTATAATTTTTACTGAGGTCATTTTCAGGTCAGGTCAAAGATGACGTCACAGGAGCAAAAAGAAAGTTAAAATAGCGGCAATACTTATATATATGAAGTTTTTCTCGAATAACTTTCAAGGTATCCCAGCTAGGAACAAACTAATAGCACCATCGTGATCCTCACGTCGATCCGCATCGAAACATATGTATGATGACCTCGAAAGGTTGAAAGGTCAAAAGTTGACCCTAGGTCACGTGACCTAAGATCAACTTTTAACCTTTCAACCTTTCGAGGTCAACATACATATGTTTCGATGCGGATCGACGAGAGGATCACGATGGTGCTATTAGTTTGTTCCTAGCTAGGATACCTTGAAAGTTATTCGAGAAAAACTTCATATATATGTAGTGCCGCTATTTTGACTTCCTTTTTGCTCCTGTGACGTCATCTTTGACCTGACCTGAAAATGACTTCAGTAAAAATTTTAGACCTTATCCGTGTGTACCCTGCACCGTTTACCGCTTGTCGCTATCTTGCTTTGTTCTCGAGACAGGGCTGGAGAAATGATTTCAGAGGTGGGGGGGACTAGGCCTCGAGGGGCCCTCAAGGAAAAGGGCCCCAAGTGTCTCAAAGGGCCCAAAATCATATTACCTTCCAAGGGCGGATCTAGGGAAACGTTTGGGAGGGGGTCACAAGTCGGCCGACATGCCGGGTCTGATGGATGAATTCTGACGACCGGGGGGGGGGGGGGGTAGGGAGCGAGTATGTCGAGATCAAATGACATTTGATCTTCGTCGTTTCTAAGATGAAGTTTTATCATTATTAGTCACTCGGCTCAGTAGTTTCAGTTAGTGAAACCCACCTATACAGGGGCGTCGCTACGGATTTTTAACTGGGGGGGGGGGGGGGGGGGGGGATCGACGTACTTAAAAACCCAGAAGTAGATATAGTTACCTCACTTTTAGCCTAATGCAATAGTAGCATAAAGTCATGATTTCTCTTATTGACCTGTTTAGGAATCGGCGGCGCGAAGCGCCGCAAAAATTTGCAAAAAAAAAATTGTAAAAGCACAGCTCTAAAACACAAACATTACAACCCTTATAGCATGCTAGTACAAGCCGGAGTTCCTTCACAGTACACATATGAATTCCGATTCAATTTGACACGGTTGATGTTATTACATCAATATTGATTGGTGTATGGCGCCGAGAAAATTTGCAAAAGTATTTGTCAAAACACAGCTCCAAAACACAATTTTTACCACCCTTTGAGCATGGCAGTACAAACCGGAGTTCCTTCACAGTTACACATATGAGTTCTAATTCAATTTGTCACGGTTGATTGGTGTAATTACAGTCATGATTTCGTATTGACCAGTACGTACATGAATCGGCGGCGCGAAGCGCCGCGAAAAATTTGCAAAAAGATTTGTCAAAACACAGAGGGGGGCGGCCTCCTCTCTACAGAGGACCACCTCTCTACTGCGGGCCTCCTCTTTTCGCAAGGCCTCTTAACTACAGAAGGCCTCCTCTCTACAGAGGTCTTCCTCTCTACCGAGGGTCTCTCCCTTTCAGAGGGCCTCCTTTACAGAGGGCCTCCTCTCTTCAAAGAACCTCCTATCTACAGAGGACCTCATCTCTGCAAAGGGCCTCCTCTCTTCATAGGGCCTCCTCTCCACTGAGGCGCGAGTCCTCCTCTCTACAGAGGACCTCCTCTCTACTGAGGAAGTCCTCCTCTCTACAGAGGGCCTCCTCTCTACAGCGGGTCTCCTCTCTACAGCGGGTCTCCTCTCTTCAGAGGGCCTTCTGCTTTCAGGCGGTCTCCTTTCCACAGAGGGCCTCCTCTCTATACAGGGCCTCCTCTCTACATAGAGCCTTCTCTCTACGGGGGGCCTCCTCTCTACAGAGGGCCTCCTACCTACTGAGGGCCTCCTCTCTACTGAGGAGTCAGAGGGGCCCTAGCGGTCAGACACAGGCACTAGCGGACGGTTATTCAGGAAGTAAGAAGGAAGGAGAAGGAGGCCTCAGGAAGTAAGAAGGACCCTAGCTGTCAGGCTGGTCAGAGGGCCCTGAATGTCCTGACGTGATTTTTTGGATTCCCGTGAATTTCTTACGCCTCCGACGTGATTTTGGCCCCCGTGGGCCTTCGGCGCCCCACGGGGGCCTCCTGAAACCCCAATGGGGGCGCCCCGTCCCCCCTTGGGTACGTCCCTGGGGCCCACACCGGTCTCCGAAGGTCCAAATTGCCTCTTGAGTCTCATACTGTCCAGTGGCCCGATGGTCTTATGATGGCCTTTGAGGTTTCTCACCGGCTTCAGAGGGCTCACATCGACCTATGAGGATCCCGCGCTGGCCTCCGAGGGCGCAAAATGTAAGAAGGTAAGCATGCCGCGTAAGTAATGCATAAGTATTCCGGCATCTGAGGGACTCCGACTGCTTTTTGGGTGCCTACCGCCTCATACCGGTGAAATGAGGGTCCCTGACACCCTACCTGTCTCTGAAGGTCCCATTTCGACATTCGAGATCCTTATTTTGGGTCACAGCAGAGGCCCATGCAGTTCCCTTAAGGCCCAATGCCGACGGTCATTTAGCCGCTTCTGATGGCCCCACGTCCTCTTTTGAAGGCACCTCAGGGGTCACCATAGGCCTGCCAGGGGCACCACCGGCCTCGCAGGGGCACCTTGGGCTGTCAGGGGCACCACAGTCCTGTCAGGGCCCAGGGGCCCCAGCGACCTAGCAGGGGCACCACAGGCCCGCCAGGGTTACCACAGTCCGGCCAGGGGCACCACAGGCCTGCCAGGGCCCAGGGGCACTAAAAATAAAATAAACAATATAAAAAACAAAGATGGAAACACCGCATCACCAAAATTAAGTGGCCGAAATCCGTTGAGTTTTTAATTTTGGGTATAGGTAGGGGCACCAAAAATTAAATTCATGACCATCCTCTTGGAGTTTTCCTGTATCATCCCCTGGTGCTCGCACGGTTGAGACAAAAACGAGTGAGATTCTGGCCTTCAATACGCCTTTTCACGCAACACGATCCAGACAAAAACAAAGGTATTAGCTCAGATGTGTTTGATAGGTGATTTTGAGCATGCAAGACGGCGTCTATAACGCATTTAGGTATTCGGCTTTTGGAGGGGGGTCAACTGACCCTCTCAGACCATTTGGGGGTCATGACCCCGTGCCCCCCCCCCCCAGGATCCGCCACTGAATTATTCATGCGTTGCTGTACATAGGAGGTATGTGAAAGAAAAGATGTCTAGCAAACACCTGTCGAATTTTCAACAGGCCCACTACTGGACCTGGACCACATGGACTCAATGAGGGCCCATGGCTCTCTGATGGTTCACGGTCACCACGGAACCATTAAGGGCCCACTAGCTTGTGGTGGACTACGACTCGTTGAGATCTACTCACTGATATAGGGCTCCGATGCTTGGAATGGGAGATTTAAAACACTAATACAGGCCAAAATGGCTGATTACTTTTTTAAACATAAGTCAGAAGGGCCCACTTTCGTTATATATTAGGTCCCCCCCAGGTCCCCCCCAGGAAATGGAATTAATGGGGCCCGGGGGGGACGGTCCCCCTCGGTCCCCCCCGGTTTCTCCGGCCCTGTCTCGAGATCTCGCTGACGCTCCCGCTCGTAATAATGGACAGGTCATAAAAATGACCTGACCTGAGGTCAACGCAGGGCGATAACCACTTTTTCATTATAGCATAAGAATGACAATTGATAAGGCTTTAATCGTCATCAGACAAAATTGCAACTTTCAGTGGGGAAAATATCAAGGTCACTCTTCGAAAAATAGGTCAAAAGGTCACGTGATCAAAATTTTCAAAAATTAGAAACCCGAGATAGCCAAAATGTTTGCTGG